CAGGATGCAACGTTTCGGGGTCACACAGGATCCCCTTCATCAGGCAGAACAAGTTCTGCCTGATGAAGGGGATCCTGTGTGACCCCGAAACGTTGCATGCTGGGATAGGGTACATATATTGGTGGGATTTGCCATGTGCTCAGACTAGCCAAGACCAGCCATGGATTGGGGCTGGGTGCTGTTCAGCCTGCCCCCCAGGCTAGGCCGGGGGATGGGCATGGGCTGGTGTGAGTGAAAGGTTTCCCTGAGGCCTCCAACATGGAGGAGGCCTGTGATGCTGATAGAGCAAGAGAACCAGGACCAATGCAGGCTCTTGAAGTGCCCTGGAACTAAGAGGAGTTCAGGAGCATGGTCGGTGTCCTTCCTGCTTGAGGATCTGTATCCCTCCTGTCTAGCTGCTACATCAGTCGCTGTCCGCTGTCTCCCAAGTGGATCTACACTGATATATATATACAAAGTCTGGTGAGTCTGGAGTGCCTGTTGGTTACCCCTGGACACTTAGAACCCCCATAACCTCTCCCCCAGTGAAGATGTTTCATAAAAGGTTATTCAGCATTTTACTACTGGAGTGGACATCAGTTTATGGGCACCAGAAGAAGGGCGGTTAGTGCTAATGGGTGGGCAGCTGAAGATCATACCCTAGACAGACTAGAAATGAACGGGGCATTCTGTCCCTCCTTCGGGTGTGAGCGCTACACTGCCATAAGGCTGCTTGTTTAGACACTTCCTGTTATTGAGTGACAATGCTCTGTTGCTGTGTTGTCACCCTGTCACATGGCCTTCTGATGAACAATACTTTGTGCTGTTTTACCTGGTACAGAACAGAAGGCAGCTGCAGTGGAGAAGACATTAATATATTTATCCAATCACTTGCCTGTCAACACTAAAACAATAGTTGGAAGGGAATGGAATTTAGGTAGATGGAGGACGTGCCTTGGGTGGGTTCCTAAGCATGTTGCTCATTAGAACATACAGGATTATGTGTGGGGTCTGCAGTGGGAGATAGCAGTAATGGAGGGAGGTGAGGCTGATAGTCAGGACATCAGCAACATCCTATGAATGATTTGCATTTGAACACAGAAGAGAGCCCAAGCCAACCAGGTGGACAGAAAGTTTGTGATTGTGTCTGAGGCAATGGTTCTTTCCTCTTTCATCTTACAAAAAAGAGTTGGTTTGGCTGACCCTGTCCAGTAGGGTGAGGGCTAGGATTTCCAGTGGAAGCAGATGAAGACCTTTGTGGAATTTATTTGCAGCTGAGTAGGAGATATTCTTATATTTCAGTGAGTTGGTCTCTTAAATGTAGGAGACAAAGTTATGGGATTAGTGTAATAGTATTGCCTGAAATGTTGGCCAATGTTTCTGCGAATGAATCCCAAAAAGGATTAATTTCTGTCACATTCCCACCATATGTAGAAGGTAGTTTCTTTCTCATTGGAGCATTTCCAGCACAAAGCTGAAGCAGAAGGATATAGTCTATGTAGCTTACTGGGACTAAGGTCAGGGCCGTCTTTAACGCAGGGCAAAAGGGGCAGCTGCCCAGGGCCCAATCATTGTTGTTGGGCCCAAAGCAGGTCAACTAAGGTACCATTGGGCTGGCAATTTGTATGATGTTCCTTGTATTCTGGTGCTTCTCTGTGGGCTGGTTGGCATGAAGAATTCCATTGTTGATCAATAAATAAATTAATTTATTTTTAAATAATTGTAATTCTGATTTTAGTCCTTTCATATGCACATCAGAGTAAACAGGACACGGAACAGGGAAGTCACAGGGAAAGGATGCGTTTTCTTGGGGTGTGGTGACCCAACCAAAGTCCTATTGTGACATACAGGATCGCACTGTATATATAACATGTGTTTTAGCACAGCAACTGTCAAGCCCGAAAGCCCGGACACAACCCGACATACCATCTGACTCGTACAGTCTCGTGTAAGTTGCAAAACACAAGTTTAACGGAAACTGTGCCGTGTTTTGGGTGAGTTTTTAGACTTGTACATGTTCATTTTGGCTGTCATTACAATGGACGCATGTCAGCAGAGTATGTCCGCACACTTGGCTCTTGGCTGCTATAGGTGGCCGAGAGTCACAAGACAAGAGGTGGGAGAAGGAGGGCAGAGCTAGCTGTCCCTCTCATCTCCGGGGTTTGTGTTTGACAATAGCTAAAGGATATAAAGTAGTTTTTGCAGTCGGTTGACCAAGACTTCCATTTTTTTAAAAGAAAGAGACAGAGACTGCTGAGACTTGTAGTCTGCTATCAGACTCTGGGAAAGAAAATACTAAGCATGTCTTTTCTCACCAGGTGGAAGATGTGGATCTCTCTCACCCCCTTGACTCTGTTCCTCATTATACATGGATGCCATGCTGCCGAAGAGGTGCCAAGGAACCAAGATAACAGTATGTTAAAGTGGACCTTTACCCCCTTTGACTAAAAATCAGCATACACATACAGCTCTGCATGCTGATAGGAAATCATCTCACATTCATTATTCAAGTAAACAGATGTTTTTAATACTTACAATTTGTTTTCTACTTCCTGGTCCATTTTGGCACAAACTATGTAATTGTGGACAAACGTTGCATCCTGGGAGTGTTACATCAGCAGAGCATTGCTGGGAAAATCTCATCTGTAATCTCAGTAGATCTCAGGGAGAGACATTTTCCTTCCTTGAGATGGTGTGTATGGTAACATGTCCTGGTCACATGTGCCAGAGTTCCAAGAAGTAAAGGGAGATGGACTAATCTGCCCTTAGTAAAAAATTACCACTGTGAGAAGACTGGAGATGAAAAGAAAACCAAGGTATGCAAAGAATAAAAAGCCGGCAATGATCTAGCCGGCAAGTATCTGTTTGTAGATTGTCATCACTGAACATTTCTAAAGGTGTCTTTGTTGTTATTTTGCAGATGTGGGCAAAGTTCCTCTTTAAGCTATATATTTATATTTGCTTTAAAAGTTGACCATCTTCAGATTTCAATTAGACTATCAGGCTTATTCACAAAAGGGTGAAGAGTTTGGAGAAGGCAGGAGAACTGAACAATCTAGGACAACATAGCTGATTTGGAAAAATTCTCCAGTTCAGCTCACTTTCCAGCTCAGCTATATTGTCCTAGATTGTTCCCTTCTCCTGCCTTCTCCAAACTCTTCATCCTTTTGTGAATAACCCTGTGTATGATCTCCAAAAAAACCAAAAACTTTAGTTTTTCCTATTACATTTCATAATTATAGATGAAGCCCCAACAATATCTCACAGGGAATATTATTTAAAGTGTATGTAAAGCCAAAAATGTCACACCAGGAAGAGCTTTCTGTAATTCAGAAGTTTCTGCTCAGGCACAATACATGTTACTAATGCTCCATATAACACCGCAAGTCTTCACTTTTGAGTTCAGGTCTACTTCAATGCTTCTTGCATCTTCTGTTTCCAGTTAATAGTTATTCCGATAGTGGTCGCCCCCATGACTGCTCCGAGGTGTCGGCTCAAGGTCTGAAGACAGATGGAGTATATCTCATCTACCCCAGGGGACTCCCCACCCCCATACCTGTGTACTGTGATATGACTGGAAAAGATGGACCCTGGACTGTGAGTACTCGATCACCCAACTCTGATCCTAACCATTATCATCCTCTCCACTACACTGAAATGTGTTGACTTTGTTTTATGTCTGTGAAGGTTCTCGTTTATCCCGGTCATGGTATAGCTTGTGGTGGTTCTTCACACTCAGCAGGACTTGTTCTCTCATGTTGAACATGCTTATGGTTATCCATATGGGTAACCCAGTAAGCTTCAACCAACCACCATGAAATGTATTAAGACTTTGCCAATTATTATCCTAATGAGATGATCAAGTGATAAATGTCACAGACTGAGGTCCATATCCTGTAAAAGAGAGACACTCAAGGGGATTAGAGGAGCATAGTTGAGGCTGCATGGAGACAAAGGTGTGCACTGGAGTCACAGGATAATAACAGGATGCTACGAGGTGCACGGGGGTCATGGGGTGCATAGGAATCACTGGTGAACGTGAGATGCTTAGGGGTCACTGAGTAACACAGAAGGATCTGGGGTCACTGGGTAACACCGGAGGCTCTGGGGTCACTGAGTAACAGGAGACTCTGAGATCACAGAGTAACATAGGAGGCTCCGGGTTCAGGATGCTCAGAGGTCACTGAGTAACATATGAGGCGCTGGGGTCACTGGGTAATATTGGAAGCTCTGAGGTCACTATATAACACTGGAGGCTCTGGGATCACTGGGTAACACAGGAGACTCTGGGTTCACTGGGGACACAGGATGCTCAGGGGTCACTGAGTAACACAGGAGACTCTGGGTTCACTGGGGACACAGGATGCTCAGGGGTCACAGGGTAAAACAGAAGGTTCTGTGATAACTGGGTAACGCTGGAGGCTCCGGGTCACTGAATAACACAAGAGGCTCCGAGGTCACTGGGACACAGGATGCTCTAGGGTCACTGAGTAACACAGGAGGCTTGGTGGTCACTGGGGAAACAGGAGGCTCTGGGGTCACTGGGGTGAGAAACTGAATGCCCCAGGGTTACTGCTTGACGCAGGATGTGCAGGAACACTATGGGTTCACATGGTGCACAGGTGTGTGCTGGGGGTATGGAGGCACATAGACACTAGAACACATAAGGGACCAAGGTATTTGTGGACACTGGCAGCAGGGGAGGCTTGGAGGACACAGATCACTGAGGCCAGGCAAGAAGAGCACAGGTAAGCTTGTAGCAGGAGGGAGCTCAGTTTAGGCATAGTGATGCTTTGCTCAAACATTGAGCCACTTGCACTTCATAGTTTATAGCTGTACCAAAAAAGGAGACTTGTAAAACATGGAAGTGACGGCGGCTGCAGACTGGAGAAGAAACCCGGCGCTGGATCAGGGAGAATGTGAGTGTGACAATACCATATGAAAAGAATCAGTGCGTGTCCAGCCAAGACTTTTTTTTTTTACAGAATGGAGAAGGAGTGAAACTCACTTCTTATTCTGCTGACAGCAATTTCCCAGATAGGAAGTAAGTTGAGTTCTCCAACAGCAGCACAGACAGAGATAAACATTATTTTCTTTACTGGAGTAGACAAAGGCTAGAAACCCTGGTCAGATTTTTATTTCTGTCCCTGTTGTAGATTTCCTCTCACTTCCTGTCTGGTGAAGTGGTTGTCATCCAGAGAGGAAGTGAGAGGAAATCTTTCTAAATGAGCCCTGAATAGCAGGAAAAACTTTTGGCTTGACAAGCACCAGACTGTCCTTTAACATGGAAATTCTGTATTTACAGGTCTTCCAGAAGAGGTTTGATGGAACTGTAAACTTTTATCAAGGTTGGAAAGAGTATAAAGCCGGGATTGGAAGAGCGGATGGAGAGTACTGGTTGGGTAAAAACTTCAGACTTAATCTTTAATGTTCCTTTAAGTGCAACATAAATCATCTCACACAGATAAGTAGACAAAAGATGTAGACCTTAGATCTACATCTCATAGCGAGTATTATTTCCTGGAGATCAGGGCCATGCACAATAACATTGCACAGACACAACTGGGTGGCGTTGGGAATCTTTGGCCTACAAAATCATACATATTGAATTTAGTGCCTTTACTCTACTATGTTAGACTACATGGTCAAACGTTTGTGGACACCTGACCATCACACCTATATGAGTTTGCTGGAAGGGTGGATGCTGTGATAACTGCAAAGGGTGGAAAATCAGGTTCATAATAATAGCCATGGTTTTGGAATGGGGATGTTCCAAAACCATGGTCATTAATATGAACTTGATGACCCCCCCCTCACCCCCCCACCCCCTTTGCAGTTATCACAGCCTCAACTCTTCTGAGAAGGCTTTCCTCAAGATTTTGGAGTGTGCCTGTGGGAATTTGTGTCCATTCAGCCAAAAGAGCATTTGTGAAGTCAGTTACAGATGTTGGATGAGAAGACCTGGCTCGATATTGGTCGTCCTATTCCTCAGCAAAGGAGTTCAACAGGGTTGAGGTCAGCACTTTGTGTGACCACTCGAGTTCCTCCACACTAGATTGGTCAAACCATGTCTTTATGGAGCTGGATTTGTATACAGGTCATGCCCAGGCACGCTGGAACCCAATAGGACCTTCCGTAAACTGTTCTCACAATTGTCTAAAATGTCTTTGTATGCTGTAGCATTAGAAGCACCTCTACTGGAAACACCTAAACACCATCATTGTGAGATGTTCCACCTTATTTTGGCCATATAATGTATCTTCAACCTATAAAAGCACACCTGTGTAGTCATGTATTTCCTGGATGATACATCAAAGCCCTGGACAGGTAGACTGGGTCACACCTATATGTTTTCAGACCATATTTCTCAGGTTAACTCCTCGCAGTTTTTCTTCTTCAGGTCTTCAGCATATCCACCTCCTAACCCTGAGGAAGTCCTATCGTCTCAGAATTGACCTGGAGGATTGGGACAATGTTGCTAGTTATGTGACCTATGAAAACTTCTCTCTGTCCCATCTGGCCATCAACCCCGAAGAAGACGGCTACAAACTGCACATCGAGGGGTTTACAGAGGGTGATCCGGACAAACCTATCGGTATGGAAAATATCTTTATTATGTTCACATTGTACATTGTTACCGTTTCCTCACATGAGGCTCAACCATTATTGAGATGCACCATCTACCAGGTTGCATGGAGTGTGTTCTTTTTACATCATCCGATATACAATTAGACCCTCTGTCATGGGTTTATTACTGTCTCTGTTTCTTTTTGAATGAAATTGAAGTATTGCCTCCAGGACAGACATCGAGCCCCACAGACATTCTAAACCTTCTCACTGTATTAAAAAATATGTGTCATCCTCTCTGTGTCTTTGGGGGGTTTCTTTTACCTTCCTGTCCCTCTGACCACCCAGCTCAGACATGGCAAATAGAGGAGTAGGCACCACAGTATGGGCACAAGCTCTAATATCTAATATCTAACCCTTAGATTTAGTTTGTAGTAGAGTAAGGGCTAGAGCCCCTGACAGCTTCTTATTTTTGTGTCCCTGGTGCAGATTTCCCCTCACTTCCTCTCTGGTAAAACCATTATCACCAGGATAATTAGGGAGGGGAAGTGTCTCTAATCGAGCCACGAATAGCATTAAAACCTGACTGGGGTCCTAATCCCAAACCACTCCTTCAAAGGGAGGCAGGCCCACAAGTAAAAGGAGTGCAGGGAAAGGGACCCAGGGAGAGTCTATGGTGGGCTCTGCAGGGTCTCTGGTATGTGCAGGGTCTCAGGTGAGCTCTGCGGGGTCTCAGGTGGGCTCTGCAGGGTTTATGGTGGGCTCTGCAGGGTCACTCTCAGGTGGGGTGTGCAGGGTCTCTGATATGTGCGGGGTCTTAGGTGGACACTGTGGTAGGCTGTGTGGGGGCCTCAGGTGGGCTCTGCTGGGTCTCAGGTGTGCTCATTGGGGTTTCAGGTGGGCTCTGCAGGGTCTATGGTATGTGCTGGGTCTCAGGTGGGATGTGCAGGGTCTCAGGTGGGCTCAGAGGGGTTTCAGGTGGGCTCTGCAGGGTCTCAGGTGGGCTCAGTGGGGTTTCAGGTGGGCTCTGCAGGGTCTCAGGTGGGCTCAGTGGGGTTTCAGGTGGGATCTGCAGGGTCACTCTCAGGTGGGCTGTGTGGGGTCTCAGGTGGGCTCTGCAGGGTGTCAGGTGGGCTCTGCAGGGTGTCCGGTGGGCTGTGCGTGGTCTAGGGTGGGCTCTGCAGCAGTGAGTGACAGAGTGATCTGATCACATCAAAGCCAGCAGGAAGAGAGCTGAAGAGAAGGAGATGGAGACGGCGCAGGCACGGGAATGTGTTCTGGAGGTAGTTTTTTTTTGTTGGTAGGAGGGCGGTTTGAGGGGGCCCCATATCAAATTTTTCTATGGGGCCCTGTAAATTCTGGTTACACCCCTGGTTACATTGTACATTACCAAGTGTTATGTAACGGACAGGAAAATGCACATGGATGGTTTTACGACTCAGCGCACCACAATGTAAGGTATGTGGGTTGTGTGTTGGCCTCCACTATACAGGGCATTGGGCTGCCACACATAGATAAGCCTCAGACTTGCCTGTATCTCTACATCTGCTGACCATCGTGACTCTCAATTTGCACCAAAGAGAAGTTTACATATTTTTTCATCACATGATCACCTGGAACTTACTCGATTTGAGACAGGATCACTCCGCCCCTTTAAATGTGTTTTTTTTAAATGTTGCCTTTCTGTCTGCAGGAGATTCACTGGCCGAGCACGTTGGTATGAAATTTTCCACCTATGACTATGACAGAGATATATGGAGCAGCAATTGTGCACAGAGTTGCTATGGTGCATTCTGGTACAGCGATTGCTACAGCTCCAACCTAAATGGGAAATATCATAAAGCTGCCGCCACTGAGTACATTACTGGTCTGGTCTGGAAAACTGCTAAAGGATACTACTACTCCTTTAAGAAGACGGTGATGAAGATAGCACCATCTGTGCCGGCAGCCTGAAGACAGTTCTATCTGGGCAGAGGTTATAAGATGGTGCCGCTTGTGTCATCAATGTAACAACAGTAGAATCTGTATCAGTACAATCCAGATACTTGTATAAATAAATCAATAAATCAATCAATCAATCAATCACATGACTGCTATTCATGTTTATTGACCAACAACTCCACCACTTGGAGCTTACACGTGTCCAATGACTCTCTCCCCACCCCCAGGGGACAATCACCAAGCACCAGAGCTGACCTGCTACATAAGGGCAGGGAGTCATCTGCTACCCATACCGAGAAGCAGGGCCGGATTTCCCACAAGGCCAACCGAGGCCCGGCCTTGGGCCAGCAGGGAATAGAGGGGCAGCAGGGGTGTGGAATTCCTATCTCCCAATGCCCAGGGGATGCAATTTCAGGCGCCGGGCGGGTAGTTGTTTTTATACATTTAGCCCTGCTTTGGGCAAGCAGAGCTAAATGTACAGCGGGGAAGCCTCCCCTTTTTTAGTACAAGTTATCTTGGCGAAGTCGTTGAGATCACTTGTATGCATAGGTCCTATAGGTCTGCCATTCTCCATGGAGGGGGGAGGTGGGGGGTTGGCAGCAAGGGGGGTCGCATTGAGGAACCTGGCTTTGGGGCAGCAGAGAGAATAAATTCGGCCCTGCGGAGAAGTACCAGATATTTTTACATTTCTTCCCAAGTGGAAAAAATAATATATATCATTTTGGCCATATAATGTATCTTCTGCCAAAGAAATTCACACCTGTGTAGTCATGCATTTCCAGGAAGATACATCAAAGCCCTGGACAGGTTTCTAGACTGCGTCTCCTCTATGTATTTTCGGATCACATTTCTCAGGTTAACTGCTCATAGTTTTTTCTATTTCAGGTCTACAGAATATTCACCTCCTAACCCTGAAGAAGTCCTATGTGATTTGTAAAATTAATAACATTTTTAAAAAATACAAATAAAAAATGCGATGAATAATGGTGAAATAATAATAATAATATTTGATGTACATCACTGTAATAGCCATTCTCATACCCAATACAATGTATCTGGGGCTCTATTGGTTGGTCGGAGTTCCTGGCTCTCTCCTGGGATGATACCACACAGGTCCTCTTGTGTCTTATATATACTATGGGATTCCATGTTGCTCAATGTCCTAAAGATGTCTTATTAAGCAGAATCTCACGGATGTAGTGATGTAACATATCCATTTCCTGGGTGCAGAATCTTATGTCATGTCCATGTTCTGTTCATGTTTTCTTGGACATCAGTTTAACTTCCCTTTCATTTAAAAAAAGAAAAAACAATTAAACTGCAATTAAAATCCCTTTTAATGTAAGAGCTGTGTCTTTGCCTCTCCTTGGGTCTCTTTGGCTGTATTTGCCTCTCTTTGGCTCTTGTTGGCTATCTTTGGCTTTCTTTGGCTGTCTTTGACTGTCTATGCTTCTCGAGAGCTGTCTTTGCCTCTCATTGGCTGTGTTTAGCTTTCTTTGGCTATCTTTGCCTCTCTTTGCCTCTCTTTGGGTCTTGTTGGCTGTCTATGCCTCTCTTTGGCTCTCGTTGGCTGTCTTTGCCTCTCTTTGTCTGTCTTTGCCTCTCTTTGGCTCTCATTGGCTGTCTCTGGCTCTCATTGGCTGTCTCTGGCTCTCATTGGCTGTCTTTGCCTTTCTTTGGCTCTCTTTGCCTATCTTTGGCTATCTTTGCCTCTCTTTGGGTCGAGTTGGCTGTATTTCCCTCCCTTTGGCTATCTTTGGCTGTCTTTGACTCTCCTTGTCTCTCGTTGGCTGTCTTTGGCTCTCATTGGCTGTCCATGGCTGTCTTTTGGCTTTCTTTGACACTCATTGGCTGTCTTTGGCTATCTTTGCCTCTCTTTGCCTCTCTGTGGCTGTCTTCGGCTCTATTTGGCTGTCTTTGTGGATGGATTACTTTGTTTTCTTGAGTAAATAAGTTGCTACACTATGCTGCATGCTCTATGTAGCTTTTTTTCTCTATAAAAGATCTTTACATACTCTGTGTCATCAATAGCACTTGGCTTCTGGCCCAACTACTCGATGAGGGCAGAACCCTGAGAATGGGCAGAGGTTCCCTTTTAAAGATTTTGAGCTTCCATAACTTCTCCTCTAAAGCCCACAAAAAAGAAAAATACAACTTCCTAAGCATTAATACTGACCCCCAAGTGCTGATCTCGAAACACAAGGCATTCACACTTCAGTAAGTAATGTTCTCAGCGTCATTTACTGCAACTTATATATCCTGAGACATAGACATTAGGAGGTTAGACAAGAGACATTTCTTCTATAAACTACTACTCTACCCACCCCCATGTATTGGATATATTAAAGAGGAAGAAATTTTTTAAGTCTAGCCTAGCCATGATTGGCTCCATAGATACAGTGCAGGAGTGAGCGTAGCCATACAGATAGGAAATGTGTGATTCACAGGATTACCAGGTGAAAATAAATGAAAACAGTCTAAAAAAAAATGAAAACTAATGCAGCCACCACATCTAAGGACTGGTAACCTGAAATATATATTTTATTTTGGCTCTTTAGATTTCCTTTTACTGGGAAACTGAAGACAAACAAATGACAGTAGGTTGTTTTTACAGGCAGAAGGAGTCAAAGTGGGCTAGCATCACAGACAAGGAGGAAAAAAAGATGAAAATTAAATCTTACACTTACATTATAAGGGATTTTAATTGCAGTTTAATAGTTTTTTCTTTTTTTAAATGAAAGGGAAGTTAAACTCGAGGACGGACACTGATGTCCAAGAAAACATGAACAGAACATGACGTAAGATTCTGCACCCAGGAAATGGATATGTTACATCACTACATCCGTGAGATTCTGCTTAATAAGACATCTTTAGGACATTGAGCAACATGGAATCCCATAGTATATATAAGACACAAGAGGACCTGTGTGGTATCATCCCAGGAGAGAACCAGTAAGCCCGACCAACCAATAGAGCCCCAGATACATTGTATTAGGTATGAGAATGGCTATTATTATTATTTACGTATAATACAGTGAAATGCATCAAATATTATTAGTATTATTTGTATTATTATTATTAGTAGTTGTAGCTGTAGTAGTAATAGTATTTTTGTATTATTATTATTATCATTATTATTATTATTTGTGTTTGTATTTTTTGAAAGTATTTTACAGTGATGTACATCAAAAATTATTATTATTTCACCATTATTCATTTCTAAAATATTTTTAATTTGATTGATTTTACAAATCACGTGGAATTTACTAACAAGTGTGGTTTGCTATGCCATAAACACTCTAGCATCCCAATCAACTCGGCCCTGGCATTCCTAAATTAAAAATGTAATATTTTTTTTTCTGTTGTTTTTGTGTCTAGATAAGCGCTGTTAACAATTTTTTTTTCAGTTTTATTTATAATTGTTTCCTTTACTATTTTTATAATAAATAACAGAAATAGTGGTTTCTACCTCAGGGCTATCAAGCACCTTGCTGCTGTGAGGACATGGGCGATAAGTCTGTGTACTATTAATGCCAAGTCCTGGGATGGTAGGACCGAGGAGGAAGTGTGTAGGATCTACCGTGTTTCCCCGAAAATAAGACCTAGTACTATTTTTGGGAATTGCTAAAATATAAGACCTACCCTGAAAATAAGACCCAGTTGTGACCATTCCCGGGGCCAGCAGTGGCATAAGGGGGAACTTGAAGAGCCGCGGGAGAGAATCAGCGGTGCCAACGAAGCCGGCACTAGAGGAAGCGTGGTGGCATCGGATGGAGCAAAGCCGCATAAGCCGATGCCTCCTCTATAGCGCCGGCTCCTGTCACAGGCGGAGTGATGCCAAATGCACTCCGCTTGTGAGGAATCTATAGTGAAAGTGCTCTTCGCTCATTCTGGCCAGCGATTGGTTAGCAAATTGCTCTTGGAAAGGTACGGCACCCCTGATTGCCCTGATCACCCTATTTTTGTACATGAATACATGAATAAGTGTGGATTGTTGTACATAAAAAAAAAGAATAATAAGACCTACCCCGAAAATAAGACCTAGTGTGTCTTATTTTCGGGGAAACACGGTACCGAGAGAGGACGCTTTGCAATTTTAGAAATGATATCCTGCACAATGTGCCAAAACCTTTGAGTTTAAGGCAAGTCCAGAAGATGCGAAGCAGACAACTAACATCAGTGTTATATCTCCAACAAGTGCTGGAGAAGGAGTGATATATCCTGTGAAGGTGTACCATGTAGGAATAAAGCCACATCAAGTGTACACAAGTATCGTTATAGTGGACTGTAATAATCTTTCATTTGCAAAAAGCCTCAGTGAAGTGTACATGGAGGAGATTGTACTGAGCATGTGTACTCTGTATGCATACGTAGAAGTCTACACACTGGCTGCCATATACATCTCCATATGCAGGTGCTTGGAATACAGGTCCCAGTGATAAGTAACCATACGTGTGTGGCCTTTTTTCATACAACAGAATAGCACGCAGGATTTTTTATATGCAGCTTACCTTGTCGCTTGTCCATTTTAATGCTCGCTGAGACCGTCCCCCTAGTTTTGTTGTAAAGTCTGCAGTCCACGGGGTGAAATTGGAGGACAAATCTGATAGAATCTGATGGAATCTGATGGAATTGTGCTGAAGGTAAAAACTGTTAATTTCACTGCGGAACACTAAACAGGTCCTTCTTCATCAGGCAGACCATGTGGATCACTCTCACCATCCTCACCCTGTTCCTGGTCAATCAGAGAGGATGTCAGGGTGCCAGCCAAGTGCCAAAGAACCAAGAAGAAGGTAAGTGAAAAAAAATATATCCAATGTGCACCTACCGAAATCTACTATAGAGAAACATAACTCCAACCGAACTAAAGACATTGTGCTGAAACCAGCTACAGGAGAAGAAATATTGAGATGGATGGAGATGGAATGCTAGACAGAAAGATATTGATATTGTAGATAGTATGGTTGGCTTTCAAGAAGAGAATTCCTCCAGAGCCATTGGTGAGGAACCATAGTCAGATAAGGAATAGATGGTTACATCTGCTGCTGGATGGATAAGAGGATAGATAGATACCAGGGAAGTGTGGTCAAGGGAGGCAGAGCCTCATCTAGAATTATGATCGGCATCTAACAGGTTACACAGCAGGGAAATTCTCCTCACTGTGTAACCTGTTATGGAGGGAGCACCTTAGCAGTGAGGAGCAAGTGAAGGACAGGGAGGCTCCTCCCTACCTCCTTTACACTAGCTTGGGGACAGGTTAGGGTGGGGCTTCTTCTGGTGGGGGTGGGGCTTCATCCAGCAGGGGTGGGGGGGGCTGGAGATAGATAGACGGACAGCACGATGACCATGTTGGCCAAGGTATTGGACTTATCCCCGTCCTCCATATTTTCAGTTCTCACTTGTTCGGAGACCTGTTACCCTCATGACTGTGCAGATGTGGCCTCTCAAGGAGCAAAAGCAGATGGAGTGTACCTGATATATCCTGGAGGAAAATACTCAAATCCTATCGCTGTGTACTGTGACATGACCACCAAAGACGGACCCTGGACTGTAAGTAACCTTAACAGCAATCACTACTCTTCCACTAATCATAGTCCTAATTATTTTTATCATGTTTTTTAATGTCGCCCTGATAAACCAATTTTATAACGAACACATTATATCAGAAGGATTGAATAAATGAAGATGACTTATTCTGCTAATTTCAGGTCTTCCAGAAGAGGTTTGATGGAAAAGTGAGCTTTTACCGAGGTTGGAAAGAGTATAAAGCCGGGTTTGGAAGAGCGGATGGAGAGTACTGGTTGGGTAAAGGCTTTAGTCTTCTTCTACTTCACAATTCTTTCTTTCCGTGTTCCTCCTACATTATTCTTCAGCGGATTGGTGGGGGTGGGGGTGGAGGGTACATTCCTAATTATGTAACATTTAGATATATGGTGTTATATATGCACATGAACTTTTAAAGAGTTGATGTTTCACCACTTCAGGTCTGCAGAATATCTACCTCCTGACCCTGAAGAAGACCTATCGCCTCAGAATCACCTTGGTGGATTGGGATGACGTTGATCGCTTTGTGACATATGAAGACTTTGCCCTCTCTCGTCTAGCGGTTGACCCAGAAGAAGATGGCTACAAACTATACTTGGAAGGGTTTAAAGAGGGTTATCCAGACAAACCCGCTGGTATGCAGTAAACCTTTATTTGAATTTTATTTTATTAGATCCTCAACTTGCACATAGATTCGGTATTTCTCACATTTCTGGGTCAGTGTCGGGTGGTATCTCTCCACCAGAATATTTTCTGCATATTCTTTCTGCAGTTGTAGGTCACAGACATCACTGACTTCTACTAGGCCAGACAGCACACCAGCTATACTTACAAGTGTTAGATAGACTGGTGTATGTTATCATGGATGTATCAGATGAGACATTCCATCATCTCAACTCAGAAGGACCAGTTAGTAATAATAAGCCACATAGATAAAGTCATTCCATCATTCATCCATCCAAGTGTCTTCCTCAGTTCAGATGAGTGTCAGGAACTTACACCAGAATTTATAACCACATAGGTAACTCGGCCGCCTTAATTCAATCATCTTGGTGTCATGAAATGCATCAAGACAGATGTTTCATGTCTAAGATCAATACAGGGGTATAACAGTTTGTAAAACCACTCTCTAATTCACATTATTGATCACCATTATACCATGAAGTGTAGGACATGAGTTACATGGCTGAAAGTGTGAACTGTTTTCTGATTGCTAGTTAAAATGGCATTATAGGTGGGTGACAGAAGGTTTTATAGGCCCTCCCCCCGCCCCCACCCCTGTGAAGAGATTGTTGTTCCAGTTTGACATAGGTGGCCCCTTTTACACCTCTGGTGAACCCGTTGTCCTCTCTGTGTATAATGTACCTCATTGCCCCCCCTCCCTCCCCAAAAAAAAAGAATGTGCTTTCTTAAGGCGTAGGAAGACTGCTGAGTACTGACTTGCAAAGTTCAACCGTAAGTTGGACTTGATGGACGTATGTCTTTATTCAACCCCAAATACTATGTAACTATGTAACTATGTAAGTGTTGGGCCAACCATTTGATGAGTAGTAGTTTGGTCTCCCCAATGTATAGTTATTGGCAAGCTGCTGCACATGCATAAACATGCATAGAAATGGCCGGGCCCTTACTATCTTGAAGTACTGAAGTCTTGTTTCATCACATCAACACTCTACCAGGATAGAGTTTACTTGGTAACCCTATATCTGAGATTTTTTAATACAATCAATAAGGCAGTTCCCTACATACATTGATCCCTAGGACTAAATTGTGCAAAGAAAACTACTTTATACAATAAACTACTAAGAACACATGCTGATCATCATCTGTATTACTCTCTGTTGTTATGGATCTAGGAACGGGTCCCGGGGCTTTGCACCTGTAAAACCACCGGTCTCCATGTCACTTGGGCAATGTTTTATCATGTTATAGAAGAGAACAGAGACAGAGAGGGCAGACACAACCACAAGGATTTCCATTTACTGGAATATAATGAAAAATCATTTAGGACGTAGATGTGATTGAACTGATGGATGGACTGCACAGGGCTAAAAAGAAACTCTGCTTGAGATAATATTTTAGAGTGCACAGGACACAGGGCAGCATAGGATTTCTAACAGGACCAATGGGTATCTTTTCACTGATTTAATAGATATAACAAATAACATTCAATGCTATAACAAAAAATTGCTGGGGACTATACACTGAGTGGCCAGATTATTATGACCACCCCATCAGTACTTCATTGGGCCACGAGATGACTTCGTTGGGCCGCCTCGTGACTCCACGAGATGGTGGAAGGTGATGCGAGGAATCTGACACGGCGCTGTTGCCCTTCTGTTGTCTTGTACCAGTCCTGCCCCTCCCCCATTCTGCCCTAACATTGACTAGTCGCTGACGGCCACAATTCGCACCTTCAGACCCACATTTTCGGCTGACAGTCCGGTCTTTAAACACTTTAACAACAGCTGCTCTTGAACATTTAAGGAATTTTGCTGTTTTGCTGATACTCGCTCCATGGCTCCGAGCGCCAACAATCATCCCGCGTTCAAAGGCTGTTAAATCGCGTTGTTTCCCTGTATCTTCAGAAACCAACCTGCTTCCCTATTTATAATGGTCTGGCCCTCTAGCAACTTCAGCGCCAAATTATAGCTAATTTGCCTACAAACGTCAGGTGGTCATAATAATCCGGCCACTCAGTGTACATAAACCTTACAGTGCATTCGGTATGCATTTGAGATCACTTTGAGATGCTTCTGAGTTGCATCTCAGTTCCTCCACAGGTGCCTCTGACCTGCATTAGAAGTCCTAAGCTACATGAAGCTGCTTCTAGGTCCCCATTAACTTGCATGGAGAACAATCTAGTTTTGATGTGAACTAAAAGCATCAACATAGGTCCCGATAGACATCTGGACGACTTATTCTAGGATGCTCTTTGTCTTCTTATCAAGGGTGGCCATTCCTTGGACCAATGAGATAAAGATGCATATTGGTTGGTTTATGAGAAGGTATTATGTACACACACAAGTCCTGGACCTATCAATGTCAACTAGAAGCAGAGTTTTTTTCATGTCCAGCTGTGTGGCCTTCCCTGAGGTGAGCACCTGAGGTGAGGTGGCTGTTATGCACAGAAAAAAATAAATTCTGAATGCAAATGTACAAACATTTATGAGATTGCCATATAACAGCCAAGCTGTTAGAGAAGATTGCACTGCAGGTCAGTCACAACTCTACCAAAAAGTTGGTAAAATAAGCCCACCCCAGAAGATTAATATTGGCATGCCCCAAGAATGACCAGTCCCTGTTTATTAGAATGGAACAAATGTCATTCCTCCTTTATCTTCTGCCAATCACATGTCAGATAATTGTGTTTTACCTTCCTAACCAACAAATCATCTTCTGTTCCCTGCAGGGAATTCTCTGCCCGGTCACATTGGGATGAATTTTTCAACGCATGACAATGATAGAGATGTCACCGTCCATAATTGTGCTGAGATGTATCATGGTGCATTTTGGTATAACCAGTGCCATGGTGCCAACCTGAATGGAAAATATCAAAATGGTACCACCAAGGAGTACGCTACTGGTCTGGTTTGGGCCTCTGCTAAAGGAGCCTACTATTCCTTTAAGAAGACGACAATGATGATATCACCATCTGTTACTGCAGCCTGAAGATATCATTGTCTGAGCTAAATTCCTGAAGATTGGGCCTTCTGTGCAATCTATGTCCACACATATTTAAATAGTCACATATGCATCAATAAAAAATACTACAAATCATATTTATTTTTAAATGTTGTTGGTCCTCGAAAACAGAACTTTCCTTGGAAAGGAATGAAATCCAATTCAGGTGGAAGCACCAGAAATTATCTGTCACACCAGATCCAACCACCAGTTGAAATCAGCATTGCAGTGGCTCCTTTGTAAGCTCATGGTTTGGAGAGAGATGGAACTTTGGTGGACTTACAAGTCATAGAAAGATCCATAGCGGTCACCAGTGTAAATATATCCATTAGTAGCCCAAGGGGTAAGAAAGGAGCTTTGATAAATGTCACCTTCCTTATTCTATGGTCCTGGTTCTTGATGAGGACCACATGCGGCCCTTTGGAGCTACTGTGTGGCCCATGGACACCAGCAGCCAGGTGTGGGGGCATTGATTTGTAAAGGGGCTATAATAGCAGTATTCTCTAATGGTCTCATGTTTTGTAGTCTCTGGCTGTCTCTTACAACAGGTTTCCAGTCACATCTGCAGCATGTCTACGGTCTGTGCCCACATACCAGCCACACAGCAGTATATCTTATGAAAAAGCCTCAAGAAAAACATAGAACTGAAAATATCCATGCATGCACATGAGTGTTTGCTTTAATAAAAGAAAAAGAAACCTTAATTATTCCTTAATGGTTTTGCTATGGGACCCATTGAACTTTGTTCCGACCCTGGACACATTGTTTTAAACAGTTACATGTTTGTGTCAGTTGCATGTTCCCACTATAATCTCACCACCCACCAGAGGCGCTCAGACTGGTCTGCTTTACGTGCATGGATTCCGATATATCCTGCAGATTGCTGGTTTATCGTCTGACGTTCTCATTTGTTCCCCAGTTCCATCCAACCCCTTTACTTCAATACATTCTTCAGACACCTACAGTCTCTGCATTACAGAATAGAAAGGTGTATCTACATGTTAGACTAGACACCATGCATGGGTTAACATAAAGCCAGGACAGAAGAACCACAGACATTTAAAAAAAAGTGGAGGTGGAACCTATGTCAGGATTTTATTGATTTATCAATTTGTCACTGATTTATATGGCAAAGTTCCTCTACTCAAATATAGAGGAACTTTGTGGAAATTCAGGAAAGTGTAAATTAAAAACATTATCCAGCCAATACTCTGAGTCGGGTCACCCGAATCTAGACTTGTAGTCTTCCCAACCATCCAAGGGTGCCATCCGAGGTCATTTCACTGTCATATACATCCTTGCAGTCAAGTAGGAAGCAGATGTGGTCAAGTCGACAACTATTAACTGGAAGGACAGATATAGAGTAAGTGTTCTCTCTTTAGCTAAGGTGTACAACAGGTTATATTCAAGGATGAGATTGGGGTTCTCCACTTCAATGCAATAAATTCCAGATATTTATAAGTTTCCGCATTGTTTGCTTATTAGCCCTACAAGCAGCCAGAACTGAATAATAAGATTCGCCCCTCATAGACATCTATACAGAACACTATAAAGTTTGTAAATATCGACCAATCAAGCAAGATACCAACCCGGGCAGATTCACTCATTCCTAATATTGATCTTCATAGGTGTGGGCCTCACCTCATAGGTATGATATCTCAGCTAAGGGTGCACGGTACTGCTACTTAACCCTCCAGATATCCTGTGGAGATTGATCTAAATATGGATTAAAAATTTGTGAAAAAAATCCCCTTTTATTGGCAATTCTTCCACCTTTTGGAACTTTATTCTTCTCTCTGTGAGATATTGGAGAACAGTATCCCGTACACTAAGGGGTCTATTGATAACAACTGCATAGCTTATTTGTCCAGTGAAACTGCATATACAGGTGAAACTCGAATAATTAGAATATCGTGCAAAGTTCATTTATTTCACTAATGCAACTTATGCGGTGAAACTGATATATGAGAGAGACTCATTACATGCAAAGCAAGATAATTCAAGCCGTGATTTGTCATCATTGTGATGATTATGGCTTACAGCTCATGAAAACCCCAAGAACCCCAAATCCACAACCTCAAAAAAGTAGATTATTACATGCAATCAATAAAACAAGGATTGTACATAGAACAATATCGGACCTCTGAAAAGCACAAGCATGCATATTTACTCAGTACTTGGTTTGGCCCCTTTTTGCAGCACTTACTGCAATTACTTTTGCACGATATTCTAATTATTCGAGTTTCACCTGAACATTAATTTTGTAAGAGTTACCCAGCCATTGTAAGAATGGGGCAAAAGCAAATCTACTTAGTGTAATTTCTCTTTTGGTCGAACTTTCTTTAGTGGGTTTATTCATAAAAAAACAGAGTGAATGAGGAAAATGCCATATTATGGACACTCGATGGAGCTGAGGATCGTAGGAAATAAATACATCTTAGTAAGCAGATACATTGTTACAATTCTAGAGAGCACTGGAGGGAATGAGTGAATCAGTGTAAGCATTGTTATGTTCATCTCTTGAATTGTAACATTGTATCTTGTATTTATTTCCTGTGTGTGAGTGAGAATGCATAACAAACATACAACGGAGTTTTCTAATTTGACTACAAAGGTGGAAATACACTTTAAGCCCTCATTCACACTAGAAAAGGCCGGCACGTACAGCTCCGTGCTGCGTATTCCACCCTACGCTCACCCCAAGCGCAAGGTCCACACGGGTGCGTGTTTCCTGGCTCGGGCGAAGACATGATCCATCCTGGCAGCGTACGAGTACGGACACCCGCACTGACGTGCAGGACGGGCGAGCGTAGGGCGGCATATGGCCGCATAGTCCCATAGAGAAGGACAGGGGCTGCGTACTAATAACACGCAGCACAGACCCGCCCATCTGTGACCTGATCTCCCCCCTCTTTTTCTGCCCCCTCTCCCCACGCCTTCCACCCAAGCAGACCCCACAACTTCTTACTCTACACCTTCACCCCTTGCACTCCCACCTGACCCCTCCCCAGCGAATCTCCCAGACACCTTACACCACGAGTGGGCGCCCCCTACCAGTGTGCTACTTGATCCACGC